GAGACCCGGAGGTTGAGAACCACTGATATAGTTAGATCTAGAGGGGGCAAAATGCAGCCCTAGTTCTCCAAAAGAGAAAGTAGGTTGCAGGACCCCCCCCCCCCCCCCATATTGACATTGTTGTTAGGAATTGTGGGGATTGAAGTCCAAAACACCTGGAGGTCCAAAGTATGCCTGGCCTGCTATATAACCATACTCTTGATTTCAGCAGCAGAGCTCAACAGGTGCTCCAATAATTTACTTGTGAAATCAGTAAGATTTGTGATTCAGCCCTGTTCATATGAAAGATAAAAGTAGCTAATTTAAAAGCATGTGTAGTATTTCAGCCAAAATGTGATTCACTCTGGCTGTATCATGTCCTGAATAAATAATTTAGCACTGGCCATACCCCATTTAATTTGAGAACCCAAGAGCAGGAGTTGACTACCATTTGTGACTGTCATTCTATCCTTCCCAGCCACTGAATTTTCTTAACAGATGACCAAATGTTGACATATGATGTCATTCCAAACTCTGACCTGGGTGACCCAAAATCACATGAATTTAACTGTAGTTCACAAAACGACCAGAACAGTGTCTGTTGAGGTGAACAGAGCAGCCAAAGAAAAGTGACTTGTGATGGCAATTCCAGATTGTGCCTCTCAAATTATTTGGGTCACAAACGTTAAGGAATGGAAGGATAATGAGGCCACTGGAACAACAAAGCAGTCAATGGAACTTTGCTCACTGATGAGAGAAACGTTCATGCTGGTGGGAACTCTATTGGAAAGAAGAGAGGGAAGACTTCCCAGCGGTTTGCACTGGAAATACTCCTGGTTAGACTAGAAATATCTCAATTCTACTAAAGTAAATCACAAATGGGTGAAGCATAATTAAAAAAGTGGATATACATGCATATAAGGATCAGTGCAACAACTGATCAGTATACTTAAGTAGGGAAAGCCAATATACTCTCAGAGAATAGCATTCAGTTTTTGTCAACATGGACGTGATGCATGATTTAATGGTATGACATGATTTAATACCATTATCTTCTTCCTTTCCCCTCACCTTGGGTTTAAGAAATGAAAGGTTTTCCACAAGGCATACTGAATAAACCCACTGTATTTGTTTAATGAACTGAAAAAACATACATCCAATAATAATAAATGTACAGAGAAGCCTTGACTAAGAAGTACTTTCCTGGATTTCCCCCATATTGCAACTTCCTCACTCCAATATATGAAGCCAAATGTGGATTCACAATTACTGTTTATTTTCTGAACTGATGTATAATTTCCCTTGTAGACAGGAAGCTCGTTAAGAGTATTTCAAAATTTAAGCATAGCTTTCGCCAGTAATTAACAATGAATTGCATGTTTACTGAAGGAAGGATTTCCACTAAGGTGCCGAATATCAAACGGTCCGAAGACTTCACAACACAGGTGCTCAGTTAATTCGCTGGCTCTGAACTTAATAGAAGGCATTTTGAAAACAGGGTCACTGAACTTGAAAGAATGATCAAAGTTTTAACTCCAAACATATTTGACAATTGGTTGTAATCTACTGCGGGCATGGGGAGGATTCCTTTGGGAAGAAATGCTGTATTATGATATTTTAAAATAGGAAGGCTTTCTGTTCTACATCAATAGCATATGTGTGTAATCATATGTGTGGAGGCTTTTAAACAGAGGCCGGATGGCCATCTGTCAGGGGTGCTTTGAATGCAATTTTCCTACTTCTTGCCAGGGATTTGGATTAAATGTCCCACAAGGTCTCTTCCAACTCTATGATTTATTTATTTACTTTACTTGTATACTGCAGTTTCTCAGCCGAACAGGCGACTCAACGCGGTTTACAACAAAGGTACAACAGTCAACAATATACAATTTAAAACCATAAAAGCATAATACACAATCTTGACACAACAATAACAACCCAATGCATCTCATGACTAAAATCGTGATCCAGTTTCGTCGTCCATATTACCATTCCTGTAATCATCACATTCATTGCACCGATTAACCAAATGCCTGTTCGAACATCCAGGTTTTTAATCTTCTTCGGAACACCATCAGCGAGGGGGCTGATCTTACCTCCATGGGAAGGGCGTTCCATAGCCGAGGGGCCACCACAGAAAAGGCCCTGTCTCTCGTTCCCGCCAGCCGCACCTGTGAAGCAGGCGGGATAGAGAGCAGGGCCTCCCCAGAAGATCTTAGGGTCCTGGTGGGCTGATAGGCCGAGATACGTTCGGATAGGTAGGTTGGGCCAGAACCGTTTAGGGCTTTAAAGGCCAACGCCAGCACTTTGAATTGAGCCCGGTAGCAAATCGGCAGCCAGTGGAGCTGGTGCAGCAGAGGAGTTGTATGCTCCCTGCGCTCCGCTCCTGTTAGTATCATGGCTGCCGACGTTGGACTAATTGGAGCTTCCGAGCCGTCTTCAAAGGCAACCCCATGTAGAGAGCGTTGCAGTAGTCTAAACGGGATGTAACCAGAGCGTGGACTACCGTGGCCAAGTCAGACTTCCCAAGGTACGGGCGCAGTTGGCGCACGAGTTTTAACTGTGCGAATGCTCCCCTGGTCACCGCCAAAACCTGGGGTTCCAGGCTCAGCGATGAGTCCAGGATCACACCCAAACTGCGAACCTGCGTCTTCAGGGGGAGTGCGACCCCATCCAACACAGGCTGTAACCCTATACCCTGTTCGGCCTTACGACTAACCAGGAGTACCTCTGTCTTGTCTGGATTCAATTTTGATTCTATGATTCTATGAACATGAGAAAACCTCCAAGACATGTTTTTGTTATCAGGTCTGTACACATCCTTTGGCTGCTTATGAATTTCTCATGTAAGATATTTCAGTTTAAAGTCCTTCATTGCCTACTATTTCCAAATTCCACAATCCAAAATCCAAAATTAGAGCCAAACTGAATCAGACCACAGGTCTATCTAGTTCACACAGTGGTCATCCTGATGCCTACACTTCGCAGGACACTAGTGAAAGTGGCAAGCATCAAAAGACCATCTGGGAAAACACGCAGTCTAGCCATGTGTTCCTGGTGTCATGCCAGCCAATCAGGAAGCTACCCTTGGGTTTACTACAGAGACAGTTCTACCAAATTCATTAAGATTTTTCCCAGAGTAGATTCATATAGGATTGCACTGTTTATAATAAGGAAGCTTCACTTTTCAGGACAAATGCAAAATACACCATAATCTCATCATGCAAAAATTGGGATGTCAGGTGGAAGCATACCATCAGATGGATTGTGTCCTGCTAAGCAAGTACTGGTTGAGTATCCCTTATCCAAAATGCTTGGAAGCAGAATTGTTTTGAATTTTGCCTGTATTTGTGATACAGTCAGCCCTACACATTCACTGGGGTTAGGGTCATGGGACTCTAATGGAAATGGAAAAAACTGCAAATAAAATCATGAGAAAAGCCATGACTTTATAGTCAACCTCTAGAAGTTGATCACAGAGTCACATCTGAGAACCTTAACATTCCTACACCACTTCTACACTGCCATATAATCCAACTGTAAGTAAAGGGGCCCCCTGATGGTGCAGCGGGTTAAACCACTAAGCTGCTGAACTTGCTGACTGAAAGGTCAGCAGTTCAAATCCAGGGAGCGGGATGAGCTCCCACTGTTAGCCCCAGCTTCTGACAGCCTAGCTTCTGACAACATGCAAATATGAGTAGATTAACAGGTACTGCTTCAGTGGGAAGGTATAGGCACTTCATGCAGTCATGCTGGCCACATGACCTTGGAGGCATCCACAGGCTCTTTGGCTTAGAAAGGGCACCACCCCTCAGAGTCAGACACAACCAGACTTAATGTCAGGAGAAACCTTTACCATTATCTTTAACTGTAAGTATAATGATCAGATACCATGGAAAAGGGGTCCACCTTTAAACGTGAGATTCTGGGGAGGGGGGTTGTATACAAAGCCTGACGTTAATTTTACATAACATTTTAAAAACTTTTGGGCATGAAATGAAGGTGTCACTAAAACAAAAGTGTCACTATCCTCAGCTGCCCATGTGGACAATTTTGGAGTATTGAGATATTCCAGATAAGGGATGCTCAGTCTGAATTGAGGATCTGTGCAACTCTGTGTCATGTGTGCCAGGTGGGCTTGTTAAAGATCCCTTTTGGTACACTACAACTCCCAAAATCCTCCAACCAGCACAGCCACGGACCACACTGCAAACTGGGTGGAAAAGTGAGTTATGAGTCCAAAGCAAGGAAGCTTCCAAAGCTTGGGGCAAGAGCAGGCATGGGAAACTTTGGCCTTCCCTCCAGGTGTTTTGGACTTCAACTCTCACGATTCCTAACAGCCTCAGGCCCCTTTCTTCTTGTAATTGGCGAGTTTTTTTATTTTTTTATTTTTTTGCATAAGAGAAAGGGAACACTCTCTCTATGCAAATATATACACAAAGCTTGCTTGAATCAGTCCAAAAGCGAGGAAATTTGTAGGATTTCTTATTTTACTAAACAGAAAGCAGTGCACCACGATTGAAAAATCAACTTTACGGTGTTTTCTTAAAACACAAATTGTGACCTGCCACTTATAGAAAAGAGTAAGATACTAAAATAATACCAAACTAATCCATTGAAACCTACATCTACCAAACTTCCCATAATCAAGAATCAAACATAGGAGTGGTTAACATACGTCTATCCTAATGCAATCTCACAAGTCCAAAACACCTAGAACAGTGGTTCTCAACCTGTGGATCCCCAGGTGTTTTGGCCTTCAACTCCCAGAAATCCTAAAAGGTGGTAAACTGTCTGGGATTTCTGGGAGTTGTAGGCCAAAACACTTGGGGATCCACAGGCTGAGAACCACTGATCTAGGTGTTTTGGACTTGTGAGATTTATCCAGAACAGAAACTTAACTGGAGAATTGTTGGGAGAAAGGAGGGTGAAGCAGTCAATTGATCTAAGCAGTTCTATCAAAGAAAATAGAGGGAAGGCTTAAGTTTGCCTGCCCCTCCCGTGAGGCCACCTATTCCTACCTGCGGCGCCGTCAGGGCCCTCCTTGTCAGGCCTGCCCTGCTCACCGGGTCCGGGCTGCCGGTCGTTGTGGCAGACGCCTTGGTCGAGGCGGGCCTCAGGGCGGGCACAGCAGTAGCGCAGGGCGCAGGTGCCACAGCAGATGGTGGCATCCGTGTCGTCGAAGTGCTCTGGGCACTGGAAGCCCTCCCGCCAGGCAGCACCCTCCTGCCAGCCGTGGCAATACTCCCCGCTGCCCTGCACCCCCAGGCCCACCAGCAGCAGCACCAGGAGCAGCAGCAGCAGAAGTGGGGGACGTGAGGGAGATGACGAGCTGCCCCACTGCATGACAGTGGAGAATGGATCCCTGGAACTTCAGAGATGCCTTCAATTGGGTCCCAGTGGCATCCTGGACCAATGAAGCCCCTGCCAAGCTGAGGGTCACTCAATGATTGGATGCTGGAACGTAAGCCGCCTTCAACTGCACCGAATTGGCATCCTGATTCAAAGAATTCCCTGCAGAAGTGAGCGTCACCAATTCTTTTGATTCTGATTTTGTAGCGCAGTGGTTCTTAATCTGTGGGCTGCAGACCACCAGTGGGCTGCAAGGATGAAAAACTGGTCCGTGAGCCTCCTTCCTCTTTATTTATTTATTTTCCCTTCTTTCCTTACTGTCTACCACTCCTTCCTTGTTGCTGACCATGGCAAATGTTCTGTATCAGAAACTAGAGTTGATGTGGTCTATCCAGTGCAACTGTCTGAATCAGCACCCCCAAACTAAATCTAAAGTTGACCAAAAACTGAATCGTAAATGCCTTTTGGTACTAATGTCCCTGGTCAAAGTGGTCCCTGGTCAAAGTGGCCTTCAATTTCACCCTTGTGGCATCCTGGCACAATGCAGCCCCTGCCAAGCTGAGGATCACCCAATAATTGGATAGCTGGAACTTAAGACGCCTTCAGTGGCGCCAAATTGACATCTTGATTCGAATAATCCTCTTCAGAAGTGAGTGTCACCAATTATTTTGATGCTGACTTTGAAGTGTAAGACGCAAAGGCATGAAACTAGTATGGGGATGTGTGACAGGACTCTGTATGGTGTTTTCTCTGGAATCCAGACACACACACACACCCCCCCCCAAACTTAGCTAGAATAGCACAGAAGTGTCTGCAGGGCAGCGAGAGAGGGCTCAGTGTGAGAGAGACCTCAGTGTGAGAGAGGCTTGGGTGAGAGACGCCCCAGGTTGAAAGCTTCTAGTGTGAAGGCTGCTGTGTGGAAAGCTCCCGTGTAAGTTCAATGTGAGAGGAGGTGCTGTGAGAGTGACGCTAGAAGCGGTTTATCTGCAGGAGAAAGAAGCCCAGRGTGTCTTCACGGTGGCGGAAAAGAAAGCGGCCAGAGTCGGTTCTCAATATGGTCTGAGGCGCCAAGTTTCTGGTCTGGATGGAGCAGGGAAAGCCAGACGCCGCCGCCGCCTTGTCAAATCACCGCCTCAGGAAGAGAAGCTGGAAAAACCAAACAAAACAGCGCTCTCCGTCTGCAAAGAGGCGCTTCAGGTCCTGTGGAAAGAGGAGCTCAGGTCCAAGGGATGTGGCTGGCGAGGTGAAAGGGCCAGGGCTGGCAACACGGAGGAGGAACCCGAGCTGAGCCTCCTCCAAGGAGGAGAAAGAGGGGCCAAGACCGAGAACAGTTGCCGGCTGTTGCGTGTCGCCTGGGAGGTCTTCTCACCTCATGGTGTCCGGGAGATGGAAGGAAAGCAGGCAGGGAGGAAGGCGAAGGAGTTTCCACTGCCTTGAGTGAGAGGCTATCCACACACTCCCTCACTCCGCCCGCAAAGCTGGAGCAAAGTGGGTCTGGGGCGGGCGAAGTCAAGGGAAAGAAACCCTACGAGGCTTGGGCGCCGCTCCTGCTTCCCCGCCTCGCTTTCCCTCAGGCGAAGTYAATGGAAGGAAACCCTGCGAGGCTCGGACGCCGCTCCTGCTTTCCGTCAACGCGCCATCCSTTCSGCTCTTTCTGGTCCCGGTTCCTCCCTCCTCGYTCCGCTTTCCAAGACTTTTTTCCCGGCTTCCACACTCCGAAGTTACTTGGGCGCCTCAAGGGGAAGGAAGGAGACCCCAGAGGAGGATGCAGACTCTTCTTCCTCCTCCTCCTCTTCAGAGTTTTGCCTCTGTGCCACCTCCTTCCCTTCCTTCCTTTCCTTTCCTTTCCTTTCCTTCCTCCTCGACTCCTGCTCCGCTCCCTGGCTGGCTCTGTTGTTATTATAGGCGCCTCGCACGGTCCGAACGCGCATGCGCCGCTGGAGACCCGCTCCCCTCYCACCTACCCACACATATACCCCCTCCCACTTTGGCTCTCCATGAATGAATGGGAAGCGGCGAGCTTTGCTTCTCGCTTCACCTTTTGCAGATTGGAGTAGTAAAAGGAGGGGAGGGGAGGGAGAGGCAGCGGGAAGGAGAGGAGCAGTGGGGTTGGAGGGAGAAAGAAAGAAAGGGGGAGCTGGCAAGATGGGAAGCCCAACCTCTGGGAAGGGACCCTCCGCTGCTTCTCGCAGGGAAACAGCGGCTCCAAGGCGAGTCTTTCCCTTCTCTTTCCCTCTCTGCGACCCCCCGGAGAAGCAACAGCGAGGGGCGAAAGGAAAGAGGGAAGACAAAGGACTGGCTGACCCACTCCCAATTGAGCCCCTATGGCAGGTATCGCCCCACTCCGATCTTGGTAGGCGACAAAGCAAGGGAATGGAGGCAGGGCCAGCTAATCACCTCCCAACAAAGGATTTCCCCCAGGCAGGAAGCAGCCAGGCTTTGAAGCTACGAGGCTTTTCAATGGTAATAAAGGTGATCAATTTATTAAATGAATAATAGAGTGGATTTATAGTGATAGTCATGGAAGACACTGATGATTATAGTTTTAATAGTTTTATATGGATTTTATTATGTGATATTAAATGTTTTTAATTGGTATGTATGTATGTTGTGGCACCTCTGTGTTGCCAATCTGTACACCCCCAGAGTCACCTTCGGGCTGAGAAAGGTGGGATAAAAATGCTGTAAATAAATTAATAAAAACAAAGGATTCCCCCAGGCAGTAAGAAGTAAGACCTTGAAACTGCTAGGCCACTAAATGTTAATCAAGGTGGCCAGTTGAAACATTCACACCTACCTCAAGCAGACGAGAGTTCTTTCTCCCACCCTGGACATTCCACATTTCCCTTTTTCCTCAATTCCAACAGACCTCACAACCTCTGCCTGCCATAGATGCAGGTGAAACATCAGGAGAGAATGTTTCTGGAACATGGCCATACAGCCGGGAAAACTCACAACAACTCAACAAAAGATTTCCCCAGGCAAGAAGCAGCCAAGCCTTAAAGATGCAAGGCTTTTCCATGCTAATCAAGGTGATCAGTTTATTAAATAAATAATAGTGTGGTTTTATAGTGATAGTTGTTCATTTGTTTATAGTGATAGTAATGTTTTTATAAAAAAAACAATGGATTCCTCCAGGCAGTAAGAAGCCAGACCTTGAAATGGCTAGGCCATTAAATGCTAATCAAGGTGGCCAATTGAAACATTCACACCTACCTCAGACAAGAGTTCTTTCTCCCACCATGGACATTCCACAGATATATAAACCCTGTTTTCCTCGTTTCCAACAGACCTCACAACTTCTGAGGATACCTGCCATAGATGCAGGCAAAACGTCAGGAGAGAATACTTCTGGAACATGGCCATACAGCCCAGAAAACTCACAACAACCCAACAAAGGATTCCCCCAGGCAGGAAGCAGCCAAGTCTTGAAGCTTCAAGGCTTTTCCATGCTAATCAAAGTGATCAATTTATTAAATAAATAATAGCGCAATTTTGTAGTGACAGTAATGTTTTTATAATGTTTTAATGTACTTAGTTTTAATTTTGATTTAAATTAAAATGCTTATTTTTAATTTTATATTGTTGTTAAGGCATTGAATTATGGCCTATCTGTAAATAAATGTTTAAGCCCAGCTGTCAGCCAAAACACTGCTGCCAAGCTGCTGCCAGACAGACAGAATGGGAGGGAGATGCCCTGCCTGGCCAACTCACCTTGAGTGGTAGGATTGCCAGACTGAACACTGAAGAAGGCTCCTGAACCTTTAATGGTCCTGCAGAAGAGGGGCTTCAGAAGGTGTTGCTTGTACCACAACTAGGTAACAAGCAACCAAAGTTTCCTCTTCTACACAAAGTATAGAAGACTTCTCTAGTGTATTCAGGTGCCAGCCACTGAGTGGGGCGACTTATTTCTACATTGTGTCATCCAGAAGGAAAGTACAAATTGAGAGCTTAGGAGAAACGAGTGTTGTCCTCCACATAAAATACCACCTACCCACTCATAGATGCTGTTGAACTGTGGTGCTGGAGGAAAGTGCTGAGAGTGCCTTGGACAGTGAGAAGATCCAACCAGTCCATACTTCAAGAAATAAAGCCTGACTGCTCATTGGAGGGAAGAATAGTAGAGGCCAAGATGAAGTACTTTGGCCACATCATGAGAAGAAAGGAAAGCTTAGAGAAGACAATGATGCTGGGGAAAATGGAAGGAAAAAGGAAGAGGGGCTGACCAAGTGCAAGATGGATGGATGGTATCCTTGAAGTGACTGGATTGACCTTGAAGGAGCTGGGGGTGGTGACGACCAACAGGGAGCTCTGGCGTGGACTGGTCCATGAAGTCACAAAGAGTCGGAAACGACCGAACGAGTGAACAACAAACCCACTCACCACCGCCAATTTCTCTCAAATTTCTATGACAGAGAATGACACTGAAAACATTGAACACAGTAGAACTCATCGTATTTGCTGTTTTCATGTTACCCAGGTAACTGCCTCCCCCCCCCCTTTTTTGGATGACTGAACTGTGTTTCTAAATACTGGACTACCATGTCAGACTACACAGAGAAGCCATTGAGATCCACAAGCGCATGGATAATTTCAACAGAAAGGAGGAAACCATGAACATGAACAAAATCTGGCTACCAGTATTAAAAAGTTCTAAAGTCAGGACAGTAAATAAAGAACAACATGAAAAAATGGGAATTCCAGAGAAGAATCAATCTGGGCCAGATAACACCTCCCAACAAAGGATTCCCCAGGCAGGAAGCAGCCAGGCTTTGAAGCTGCAAGGCTATTCAATGCTAATCAAGGTGGCCAGTTGCAACATTCACACTTGCCTCAAGCAGACAAGAGTTCTTTCTCCCAGCCTGGACATTCCACAGTTATAAAAACCTTACTTGCCTAGTTTCCAACAAACCTTAGAACCTTGGAGGGTACCTGCCATTGATGTGGGCGAAACGTCAGGAGAAAATGCTTCTGGAACATGGCTATACAACCCGGAAAACTCACAGCAACCTATTGTACTAAAGTTTGATGTTATCAGAAATGATAGATATTTGGAGACTGAAGGAATGTTCAGTGTGTCCCGCTCCATAGCTATTCCCCTAAGTGAATGCATGGAGAAGAAAATCTACAAGATTATATTTACTCAGTCAGAAGACTAAGAAAGGATAACATTTAAAGTACAGCAAGTTATTAAAGTCAACTTGGCAGGAAGATAAGCCAACCTGGAAGTTATATAGCAGGGGTCCTCAAACTATGGCCTGGGGACCGGATATGGCCCTCCAGGGTCATTTAGCCGGCCCTCACTCAGTCAACCTGTCTGAAATGACTTGAAAGCACCCAACAACAATTCTATCTCATCAGCCAAAAGCAAGCCCACACTTCCCATTGAAATATTAATAAGTTTATATTTGTTAAAATTGTTCTTCATTTTAATTATTGTATTGTTTTAAAGTGTTTTTTGCACTACAAATAAGATATGTGCAGTGTGCATAGGAATTTATTCATGTTTTTATTTTCAAATTATAATCCAGCCCTCCAACAGTTTGAGGGACTGTGACCTGGCCCTCTGTTTAAAAAGTTTGAGGACCCTGTTATATAGAAACTGTTTCAAAGGTTCATGATATAAAAGTAACCATAGTAAGGAATACTGAGAAGAAGCCACTGTGTAACCACTAAGATTTGTGTGCCTGAGAATCCTTCAATAAATATTTCATTGTTAAATTTCTTATAACAAAGACTTGTGTCCAGTTTCTGAGGAGAAGATTTACTTCA